TGGTGAATGTTGCATCTATGCTGCTGGTTGTTGCCACTTTCATCATTGCTAGATCCTAGGCTGTTAGTGCATTTCACTTTCTGATATGCTACAGTAGCCTTGTCCTGGCTGTAGTGGTTAAGAGACTTGGCTCTTGTGGTCAAAGGTCAGGTTCGATTCCGTGCATGCACGGATGGGCCTGAGGCCAGAGAGTATGGATCCATAGCTACTGTGGAAGCTCCCATGGAACCCGCGTGGTCAAGGGTGCTGGTTCGATTCTGTGCATGCACGGATGGGTCAGAGGCCACAAAGTATGGATCAATAACTACAACTCATGTTGACCGGTTTAGGCATACCTTCAAATAAGCTGTTCCGGTTCTGATTAGTCTTCGTCGTTTCCTAGTCACCAGAAAGGGTGGTTGCGACTGCATGCCGAGAACAGTGAAGTTTCATAGCTTCACTGTTCTTTGTGGGATTGGCCCACTTATGGGACCTCAACTGATCACTGTGAGGATTGAGCCCTCAAGTAGGGGCCTTGCCATGATGTACATGTTCTGGGCTAAGGCCCCAGCAAGCCTAGTGCCCGCCCTAAGTGAAGGCGGGCCAGCAAATCAACAAGAGCCCTCTGTGCCAACATTTCACGAAGTGGGGTCTATACAGTTACAGCACGCCAGTTGGTTGGAGTGCACCGAGTCTCGGATTTCAGCAAATGCTGAAATGCCCAGGGCCTCTGAGTTAGTTAGGCCCTGGGCACTCGAACGAGAGGCCGACAATGCATGCTGGGTAGAGAGGCCGAAAATGCCAAAGGGAAATCGGCCCACTGTCTGAATCTGGCCGCAGGCCTTGATGAAGGAGGCGCAACTGCATTGCCCCGGGGCCCAACTGTATCGAGTTGGCTTCAGCCTCTGGGCCCCGGTCACAGGCTGAAGGGAGGCCGCCCACACGCTGCACTGGCATATAGGCAAGCAGGGCGAGGCAGCGGGCATCTTGGCCATTGCGGGCAATGCCGGCACGCTGCGCAAATGCGAGCTGCTGGCTGCTGCGCTGCGCTAAGAGGAAATGCAAGGCAGGCATGCGCTAAGGCGGTAGGGCGCTGCCTGTGCACTGGGCGCTTGGCGGCCATAGCCGGGCTGCAGAGGGCGCAGAGGGGTGAGGGCGAAGGTGGTACTTCGGAGGTGAAGGGCGCTGTGTGGGTAACAAGGGAGAGTGTGGGGAAGAGGACACGTACCTGGTGATGGTGGAGGTCTGCATTGGTGTTGACATCATCACTCGCTGGTAGTCAAGTTGTCTGGTTGCTGTTCATTGCTGTAGTTGTAGGATAGGCTGTAGAGTAGATAGGGCGCCTAGCGCCATTCACAAGAGAGAGCTACATTTGGGTTATGCTGTTGGTGTTGCCCTGTTGGGCATGGACATTGACTCACGATTCTTCTGTATCATTCTCAATGGGATGGTTAGTCGGTTCCATGTGCTATCTACTTTGGCTTTGAATACTTGGACTTCAGTGTGATTTTGCATTCTGGATTTCTGTGCTTCGTCCATACTCATGTTCCTTGCATCACCTTTTGTATGCCCACCAACTGACCTGTTAGTCGGCACATGTCAGAGATGGCACCTGCAAGAGACAACCCTCTGGTGGTACTGTGCACGGGGTTGCTTTTTTCCCTTTAATATATTTTATTTTATTTTATTTTAACAGCCACTGGGACTGATAAAGGTGCTGATATCATCCCTGTGGCTGGCTCCTGTCTATTGGTGGGGAGCAGCACCTGCTGGAAAATGGGTCCAGTGTCCCTCGCAATTGAAAATTGAAACAGTACATTCTTGTGACAGTTAGTTCTGCAATGAACCCAAGTCATGAACACGAATTTCAACAATGCAAGTCCAGATTATCGAGCCGCTGATAGTTCCAATAATCAAATAGTATTCAGAAAGAGAGAGGTGAGATAATCATACACAGACGAAGAGGAAGGAGGGAGATAAGACAAGGGAGAGGAAATTACAATGCCCACTCCTTCTCCGGGCACCTTCCTTGATCGCCACCTCACAGTAACCAGTAATTTGAACACATATCGAAGTCCTGTCACAATGTGCCACATGGCACCTCAGTCCATAATCAGCGCTGGAGCCTTGTCAACATGAAGATCCCAGGTACGTATCCACAACCTCCTCACAGTCCCAATCTTCTCCTGAAGTGATGGTACAACAGCCTTGATCTCTCCTTGAAGTGATGATGCAATAGAACAGCAATGCCGGTCCCTTGGACCCGGCGATGTCACACGTGGCAGCAGCCATGTAAGCAGCAATGCGTGGCAGCTGCCACGTCAGCAAGCCTTGAAGACAGTAACTATCCAGTCAGTGCACCAGCCAGCAGCGCTCTGCTGCTATCTCGCCAATGCCAGCCTAATGCCAGCGCTCGTCCAGCATCGCAGTGTCAAGCCAACACTGCGGAGTCAACGCGTTGAAGCAGCGTCAACGCAAGACAGCCAGAATGAATGTCAAAGCCAGGGAGTCCACGCTTATGTAGCGTTGACTCGGGGTCTGGACCCCGGTTGCTGCAGACTCCAGCCGTCCAGATCTTGACACCGGTGAGGGCCTGGATCGTTCTGAAACTCTATCCTCTTTGGCCTGGATGCATGTCTGGGTACCTGCACACAACAAGTGGATGTATCCAGCCAGGGGCCTGGCATGGTACCTTTGACTTGACAGTTGACTTTGACTTTTGAATTTCCTGAACCAAGCACTTGGTCCCACAGCCGCGTGCGGCCTTCTCAGATCTGGGCATGTGTTGGTCACACAGCCCAGCGCAGACCTGTTCTGGTCTGCGTGGCCTGGGGCTGAGTTTCTAGGCCCCGGGCTACTTCTGAACAGGGTTACTACAGTTCTATTATTCTCTTCATTCTCCTCCTCTTCGTCCGCT